AAAAAAAAAAACAAAAGAAAGAAAGAGAGGTGTGTGGGAGAGAGAAAGAAAGAAAGAAAGAAAGAAAGAAAGAAAGAAAGAAAGAAAGAAAGAAAGAAAGAAAGAAAGAAAGAAAAAGAAAATTCAATTAGCAATAACAGTGGCTCAGATAAACTTCACTTACTATAATACTGCCACTGAGCAAAACAAAGAGGTTTCAGATTTAGTATTTATTTTACCTCCACAGCATTTTTCTGTGTTATAACTATTTGTTTGACTGTAAGATACCCATAAGTCCCCTAAAAATCGAAGAAACCGTGTAGAAAAGAAAATAGGCCTTCTCATACTCCCCTCCGCCACCCATTGTTATATCTAATCTTCCTCTTTTAACAAGAACAATCAACTTTTATATAATAAATTTTTATATGAAAATTGTGATTTTATATTCAAATTATTGTGTTTATTTGTATAAAGTATCTTATTGATCAATTAATATATTTTTATACTAATAAAAATTGTTTGGATGTCTTGGGTTGGATGGAATGCATCACAATTTTTCTGTTGAAATTAGCGGAAATATTTTTTAGTTAATATTTTTATTTAGTGTCTTATCACTTAGTAGAGACTTTAAGAACAGGTTTAAAAATATGCTGTATTTTAAAATATGAAGCAGAGAAGAAAATATACACATACAAATATGTTGTTCTTTTTTTTTTTTTTTTTTGGTACCAGGAATTGAACTCATGACCTCAGGCTTGCCAGGCAACCACTTATGCCACTGAGCTACATCCCTAGCTTATGTTGTTATTCATTCACTAGGAAGACATACCAATTTTTAATCTTTAGGTACCAAATAACATCACTTCAAAGTATATAAACCAAAATTTACTGATTTAAGTTAAGAATACAAAACATTACAACCACAGCGAGAGACCTTAACACTAACAAATATTTTATTTTAATTTGGGGGGGATACTGGGAATCGAACTCAGGACCCTGTGCTTGCCACACAGGCACTGTGCCACTGAGCTATATTCCTGGCCTATAAATCTTTTAAATTAGCTATAAAAACACACCCAAAAAAGTCACTAAAAATGTAGAAAAGCTAAACAACACAATTAACAAGTGTGACTTATTTGACTTCCAGGACACTGTACCCAACAGCGGTAAAATATACATTATTTCCAATATAAGTGAACCACTTGCCAAAATTTGCCATACGGTTGATCATAAAGCAAGCCTCAGTGAATATCAGTGGATTAAAATAATTCAGAATGTTCTCTGACTACAGTAGAATTAAAATCAATAACAAACAGAAAACTAGAAAACTCTGAACTTCTTGGAAATTAAAGAGGTACTTTTAAATGACCCAGGGTCAAAAATAAAATCACAACGGAAATTCTAAAACACTTGAACTGAAAGAATTAAGTTGAAGCTGGGCTCAGGGGAAATGTACAGCCCTCTCTGAATACTTCAAAAAGGAAGGAAAGCTGAAAGTCCACCTTCTAAACTTCTTTTGCAAGAAGTTAGAAGAAAGCCCGATCAAACTCAAAAGAAAGTACAGGAAAGACTAAAGATATAAACATATAGCAATGAAACAGGAAACTTACAGTGGAGAAAATTTTTTATTTTTTAAAAAAATCAATAAACTGAAAAGCCTCTAGCGGTATGACCCAGGAATTTTACTCTTAGACACATACCCAACAGAAATGTGTTCACACAGTCATGAAAGAAATGTCCTCCTGTTCACAATAGCCCCAAACTGAAATGACACCAATACAAATCAACAACAGAAATGATAAATAAACTGTGGCATTTGCACAGCGGAATACAGCAATGAAAATAATCTACAATAAGGGGCCAGACTCTTAAAATGCTGAGTGAAGACACTAGGAGCAGACTAGAACATACGTGTAATACCATTTATGCAAAGTGTAAAACAAGCAAAATAATTGATGCTATTAGATGTCAGCAAAATGGTTCTCCTCGGGATAAGTGATTGGGAAGTCTGAAGGGAGAATATATTTCTTTTTTTTTAAGAGCAGGAAATA